CATCCCCTTCCCACTCGAGTACTCCCCCTCCCCCCCCCACGTCTCACTCTGACCCACTTCACAGCGGCACGTGTTGCCCTGCTCCAACCTCGGCCTCTTTCTCTGAATTCCGGTCTCACCTGCGCCCGCAATCTCATCTGGGTTGTTACGGTTCATAATTTTTTCTTGCGTTCAAAGTAATAGGAGTCTCTTGTCCATCATTTTCTTACTTTTTCTTACAACACTACAATATGAGGATAATTATTGGAATCATCTCAACAATATAATATCGAATTGTTTGTCGTAAAATCTGTGGTTGTTTCTTTTGAGTTATAGCTTCGTACACATATCAGGATTGTTATATTAGTGCTGTTCCAATGATGGTAGATCACGAGAGATGCACGCAGTTTTGTTTCCCAAAATAGGGACATATGTATGTGTTCTTTTTTCAATCGTTTTGGTAGAATAGAAAAGGGTGAATTAAAAAAAAAGTTTGGTAAAACTACGTTTTCAATAAGACCTCTGACATCTTCAAAATGATCACATTTTTTTAATCTGTCAAACGTCTCGAAAATTGAATCCATATATATATTTATCAATGTCATTTATTCTTCAATTTTGAATCTTCAAATGATGCTAGGCACATTGTTAAAACATCGAGTAATTGTTGGGGAAGAAAGGTGTCGTTATGTGTCACATTCCCACATTGCAGTTTGGAGCGTAGTAGTGTTGTATCAAATCATAGGACTTCACTTACCTTGATTTTTATTCTCGTCTATTCTACTTTAACTTATTTCATTCGTATAAACCGCTTTCACAACATTTTAAGCTGAAAAGTTTGTTAAAAAAAGGAAGAAAAAACTATTCCGCACAAAACTATTGTGTCATAAAGTGTGTTGGAAATTACGCGTTATGATGACTCGGTGATGTTTCGCGTACGGAGAAGGCTGGAGACAAGTCAGCAACTTGGACAAGCGTAGAAAAAAAGCTAGATGCGCCCTAGAAGCATTCGGTTACACATGGGGGGCCGTTGCGCTCCCCAATAGTGTGCCGGTTTGTCTTTAGCGCTGCGTTCCAAGCCGAAGGCTCCGGTGGATACGTGGGTCGCCGACGTGGCTTCCCTCACTTTCAGAAACTACCAAAAATAACATATTAATTTTGTCGTTCTCATATTAGTCCATACTTGTGTATGCATAGCACCTAGACAAAGTTATTAATTTTTAGAGGAATTTGAAGAGGATATAAGATATAATGTATAGTGACATGATAAAGTGATTAATTCAGCTTTATTAATAATTTTGGCAAAATTCGGTATACTCGTAAATTATACATAATGGCTACATATTATTAACAATGGCTTTATATTATTCATAACGGCTGGTTTAATTATATAGTATTATCATCTTCTTGATGTTTCCGCAATGGAAATATACCATTCCATATTTTTTATTGCATCTAAAATATGTAATTGATTAACAATATTTTATTTTCATGTCTTTCCAATGTGTTCATAACAATTTTGTTTTCGACTCGTTTATACGTGTAGAAATACATTGAGAAAGTGTCGACGGAAGTGCAGACGTATTGAGTTAAAACTGTATTTTAGATCTTGTACAGAATACTGTGACAATTTTGTTTGGAGTTACGTTGGACTTTTTGCCTACATGAGGAAGATATTACATATATTCTTATATACATATCGTCTACAAGAGAAATGTGTCGTCACGTGTAAAGTATTATATGACAAAATCATTGAAACATTTTGTTTACAAGAGAAATATATCGTCACTTGTGAAGTATATAAATAATTGATATCGCCATATGTAATAAGTATTTCACTTTATTTTACTCCAATTTTTAGTAAATTACAATATGAAAATGTTAGATTTCGTCAGGACTAATAATTTTCAACGCCAACGCGAAGAGTGCGTGCGTCATCATCTGGTGCGACCACGTGAGTATTCAAAACATTTTTATCACCAGGAGACGATAAAGAAATATTGTAGCAGCGTAGTATTGTCCCTTAAGGAGAGTATTTAACTTTATGATTGAAGTGAATATTGTACTTTTCTTTTAACATGGCTTAAAATCATTCTGCTGAAAACAGAGAAACGCGAATTACAATAATTGATCGGATGGGCTATTTTTGTGCCCGATACCGTATACTGCATATAACTAAATTATTATAGAATTGTTTTTTTTTGTGAAACATGTTTTAATTCTCTGATATATATCTCCATTATATGGATCATGATATGTGGTGTGAGGCTTGAGACGGGGATTTAAGCATAACACGTTATCCCATTGTCCCAGTTCCCGCACTCTAAGCTTAAAGCCAATTTTTGCGAGTTTTGCCCTTTTCTGTATAATCGTTTGTGAATTATCTCACTGCCAGCATGCAACTCAAACATTTTAGAAAGCACGTGTATACGTTATGATGTGTGTACAAAGTTACAAGCTTCTTATCTGTTCAAGGTATCCCTGACCTCATGCATTTTTGCAGACATAAATAGTAGAATCAATTCTTGTTGTATCGGGTAACCTACACCCGATTTTTACTACTCCACTCTTCACTTTGAATGTTTGGACCGTTGCCAATATATTCCTCTGTACCACGCACTGCCAAGAAAAAGTATCTAGTGACGTTTCATTATACTCATATTTGTAATAGATAGTTGGGAAATACTTTATCCTTTTGTGTATGTTATGTATTTTATATTACTGATTTTCTGATGCATCCACTGCTAAAATTTCATTTGAATTTACATGCACTTTATACCCATTTTTGTTTTAATTTTAATTGAACATGTAGCATATTCACATTTTTATTATTTTTCAGATTCCATTTCGATCCTGCATCATTTTGAACGACACTACATTGATAGCTGCATGTTTCTACAAGTACAAACGACCTGTGGGTGAGTCATAAATTGAATGTATAGTACTAACGATAAATATTTATTCAAATGGAATTATGGTTTTTGTTTCAATACCTCCTGTATTTTAGTATTGAAAATATTTATTGCATTGAAAACTAATTTTTTTGGTCATTTTGTAAATATAAACTTATCATTGAGCATATATTAGATGAATATTGTGTTCTGGAAGAAATGTAAATAAATCGCTTAATCATATGTATTTTAAACCGCTTGATTTTTATCTTTAATATGATGGTTGTTTGAAAAGTAGACATACTGAATATAATTCAATTTTAGGAAATAAATTGAAAATGAAAGATATGTAGTTGTTTAAGTTAATTTTAGGAGTTGGATGGAAGAACTGCTTAACCTCAAAAACCCAGTTTCGAGAAAAATCAGTTTAATGTTTTCATGTGAGTTAAAACTCTCTCTCTTACCAGATTTCATTCTTCAATAAGGAATCTAAAATTCAGAATATTTATTTTATAAATATCTTTGAGAACGTACTGACACTACGTTACTTTAAAAAAGGCTATTTCTAATGTGAATATAAAAATGCAAGTAGCAATATGCCTTCGGCTCTTCTTCCTTGTATTTAATTGTTTCCACATTTTCATTTAAAGTGTTGTTCTTGAGGCAAATTTCAAACTTGTTGCATGAGAAGAACGTGTAGGATAGAGTGAGAAATTATAAGATTAATGTATTTCCTTCGTGGGTATTTTATGTCAGAAATTTATACTACTTTGAATTGGACAAAAATGAAGGTCCGTTCGGTTTGTGTGACATCGCGTTGTTTCGACCATTTGCTCGTGGTCTTCTTAAGGACAAAGAAGCATTAGAATAATGAGTACTCGAGTTTATATATTGTACGGCTCTATAGGAACCAGAGGTTTAGTTGGTTGATTGATTGGGTTTTGGTCGACCAATCAGGCTGGACCGAATGCTGACGTCGGAAGGAGTGGGATCGGACGGTATGGTGCAGGCCGGGATCGAGGGCTTCCACGGTACCTCCTGCTTTCTGAATTGTCTTATGCGAATTATTTGAATTTATAGCAAGTTATTCATTCCCACGAGTGTCTCATGAAAATAAGATACGACAAACGCTTTAAACTGCGTTACGCCATTCTTCAAACCAATTCATTCAACCAGATTATATCGTGTACACGAAATCGGATAATTAACTTTAAAATAATTTTCCATTGAACTTAAGAGTGACGGCCCGTCCGCAATCATTCCTTAACTTTCGTTGTCCTATCTTCACCAATTACGTACACGTACACTTACACTTACATGTACCACACTACCACATATTTCGGAAGACCCATCGGGTGTTGAGAGCTCGTCCCGGCTGGGGCGGTGGACCCCCGATAAGAGTTACTTGGTTGGGGAAAACCCTGAAAGTCGTTGTGTAAGTCAGTGCCGGATGTCATAATCCTGCGGGGGAAGTTCATCGGCATCTCTCGCAATAAAAACACACTCTACATTTACGGGAGTAATGAGCAGGAGAAGATGTCACCCTCAAATTCAATCAATCAATCAATCGACGAAATTTCTATTGCGACTTAAATATTTAAATAACATTTTTTTTAAATGGAAGGAGGAGAGAGAAATTAGCGAACCTTAGTGTTTCTTGGTCATCCATAAAAAATCGGGTAACACAGTTGGGGTATTTTTTTAATTCTTATTGTTATCACATTACGTCTCTGAATTCGACGTGAATAGCTTCAAATGAGAAGCGAAATAATATCTTACTCGTTTCCGATCATGAACAGTGTGAAGAATAATTTACAATTTTATAATTGACATAGGTTATACAAATAATATTTCAGATATGTAGCAATAGTCTCTATCTGCTCCCTATTGAATTCAGAAAAATGTTAGTCATTAGGAAGTGTGTGTCAGAGAGAAATTAGCATAAGTGCACACAAATATTATGCACTCGCAGAAGAGAAAGTGCAAACTTGTAGTCCCTATAAAAGAACTACAACATTATCGAACACATTTTCTGTACAATGCGCTTTACTGGGAAATAGGAGATGTTAATTCACTTCGCCGTCTTTATTTAATGCATCCAATTTTCTCATTCTTTCATATATTGGATGCATTTGAAAAACTTAAAGGGGGTGATTGTTTATTTTTCGTTTGAATTCGATTAGTTTCTAACAATAAAGTAGAGACCCGAAGGGGAGCGTTCATTGTCGGTCCGCGGTGGCGTATCCGTGGCGATGAAGAGGCTTGTGGGGGTGAGCCGAGCGCGCGGCTCTGATCTGCCCGAGGCTGTTGACGAGCGTGCCCTGCGCTGACACCCAATCACTCAGGTGAGCACGCATCGATCGGCGCCGCCCGGCCCCCAGCGCCCCACACCGCCCCAATGCGCCCCGACGCAGCTCAAACACGCGCCCGCGGCTCTGCACTCTGGCACACGCCCCTCCTGCCACTACCCCTGCGCTATTCTCCTCTCCACCTCCTTGCATTTCCACGTCTTCTCTACCATTGTACAGAAGAAGCATTTCCTATCTAGCATGACCTTCCTAGGCCCGTTACACTCGTGTACCTTGGACCGTGAAAGGTTGGTAAGGGACCACGTCAATGCCTCTGACCGGGAGGTCCTAAGTTCGAATCCCGCCGCTGGCTGACTAGTTAGCTAGGTCGTATTCAGTCGCTGTCTGGAGGAGAATTGTAGTGTCCGGCTGCTCTGATCGGTATTTTTCCGTAATTTCTCTGATCAACAATAGCCGAATTCCGGAGCAGAACCGTAACGAATGTACCATGGACCACGCGTGTTCTTTCCTTCCTCTTCCTTGTCATATCCTAACCCCTTACTTACACACCCCTCCGATTCCCCGCCCGATGCTTGGTTGGGAAGAAATTCTCACTAGTTACTAGACAGTAGGTCGGCGCGGGGTCACACCATCCAGAGAGCGATGGTGCCGGATCTCACAGCCATCTCCAGATAAAAACACATGCACTACACTTACGGGACTAACGATCATAGATGTTGACGCACCAGCAATCACCAGTCAATCAACCACCAATCGTATACCTTAGTTTCTGTCTCTTTCGCGCCCGACCCAACCCCACATGCCACGTTACGTCACGCCTAGCCGCGCAACGCCACGAGGCGCATTTTCCAAGTTAGTAGTTTGTCTGAATGCAGTCCGAAATATTTTTCTATTTAAGTCTCGATGCTCTGCTGTTTAGTCTTATAGTTCTTTTCTTTATTAGTGAAATGTTGCGATTTTCTGTATAATTACTGTTGTGTGTCGGAAGTTTCCAATTTTCGAATATTTAATTGGTAATATGCCATTTCAAAAAACGTGTTGGTTTCAGTTTTTTCAGTGATCTATAATTACTCTTACTGTTGTTCATGTTGCTGTGTGATGATTTCTAGAATTAATATTCAAGGAGTATGACGTATAAATTATTTCGATACTGCATTCGAGGAAACTTTTCAAATCATTTGAAAATACTGGTTTTGGAGTTTATCATATTAAAATTGAAATAATAAGCGCATTTCGTTAACTCCTTACATTTTCTTTAAACTTAGTTACTTAACTGCTTCAAAAGGAAACTTCGCACTGGAATTTTTCCTGAATTAATTTTAAATTATTCAAGTAGAAATAAAATATTAGTAACACAGCCACATTATATATTTCCCTTCCACTTTGCTATCAGGTTTTACGAATTTGCGATAGACATTACTTTGTTTTAACAATTATGAGGTGAACACAACGGTTAAGAATATTGAATCAGATTAATGACAATCATTTTAGAAACATGAATTACCAAAAGAAGCCCCTTAACCTCTTGATAGAACTGAAAAAGCTCAGGAAGTGTACGTCTCTTCACTGACTACCGTAACCCAGATAACTATGTACATGAAAAATATTTGGGTAATTCATTCGTGACTTCAAATCTCACTAAGGCGTACTTAAATTTGCATTGAGGTATTTGTCAGTTATTTTGTTTCGGCGAGGTGATGCTTCTGGTTCCTCGTACCAATAATATTGTACCCGCATTTGTTCCACGGCATGTCAACGACGTGAAGCACGGTGACACGTGAAACTGTTGGAAACATGCGAGCACGGGCGTCTCTAATTATCAATAAATTCCTTTGTTGCAAAGCGATTGTGTCCACAATGATAGGAATTCTGCAATGAGTGAAGTGGCTTCGTGTACTGGCATTTTCTTTTACATAGCGTTGAAATCCGGCACAACATACATCATCTATAAGGTATTGCGTTTCGCAATCTCTATGTGGAGGCTTGTCAATGTGCTAAATGGACAACACCGCTATTCTGGGCAGTATCAGAGTCGACAGTGGAGATGTTAAATATGGGTGTTAATATCCATTGTGTGGCTAGTGATTCTCCCTTAGTGACCTCGTATAAATTAACTCTAATACACAAAGCATTCTCTAAATCAGTAGGTGCATAGTTTATGACCGCGCATGCAAGCATTGTTCTTGGCGATACTGGTCATATCCTGCAGAATAGGGCAATCATTTGTGAATGTTGACTGGGAAAATAAACGACTACGGAAGCTATTAATTGATAAGAAGAGTTTGTGAGATGAACGTATTGTTTTTACCTGCAATGAAATGATAAAACGAGGGATATAAAACCATAGGAATACTTATGTCTTAGACCAAAAACAGACTGAATTACAAATAGCCATGTTTTTTAAAAACACTTAAGAGAATCTATCTATATAAATACATTTATTGATTCAAAGTTTTTTTAATTGAACAAATATGAATTATTAAAACCTAAATGAACATAAATATTGATTTATTTGGATTTAAAGGCTGTTCATCTGCTGATGCTATTTTGGCTCAAGAATCAATATTTAATTAGATGATAGTCCTAATGATCGTGAATAAATGAATGTAATGCATAAATTATGGAAAAAACCGTAACAGACGCGGCGAAGACCCGACAAAACCAGATCAGCGCTCGCTTTATCCACCACAGATTCCTCAAGCATCGAACTCGGACCCC